GACGGCGGTCTCGTCACCTACGAAAGACGAGACGGCGGTCTCGTTCACCCAGACGGCGGTCTCGCCATTTCGACAGGTCGAGACGGCGGTCTCGTTGAACGAGACGGCGGTCTCGACCCTGTCAGACGAGACCGACGGTCTCGCCACCTGACAGCGCGAAAACCTATAAATAGGGGCTCTCTCCCCCTCATTTCCACACACCATAGCTGCATAACTCTCCCTTCTCTCTAAAAACTTCTCTCTAGAATCCCTCCGACGCATTTTCGGAGCTTCTGAGTGCTTTCAAGAGTGATTTTCGGCGTTCGAGAGGTTTTCCGACGTCTTGTAGAGTGAAGGGCTGCCATAAAGCACCCTATTTTTTAGAGAATTAATATAAAAAGCGTGCTTCGGAGGTTCAAATTCTCTCTCTTCACCTTTACCGTTTTTATCTTAAATTATGCAATAGATATTAGGGCCATGTAGTCATACTTTTAAATTCCACAGAATAAAAAGGGCGAAAGTGTATTTTTCTAGTTTATCAATAAAATAAGCCGACCTGTCATAGGGAACCCGAAAGGGGCGTCGTAAAGGGACTAATACTCCCTTTACACGTAACCAACTCCCTTACCCAACTCTGGTTCTAATGACCAAAGTTGGTTTTCGAAAACCAACGCCTTTTAAAACCCCTTTTCCGATGTTTCCGGTAAAAACATCGGTGGCGACTCCATAGAACCCAAAATAAATAAGTCCTTGGGTTAGCCCGGTTATCGGACAACCCAAAGACACTTTTCGAAAACCTCGCCCTTAGGTAAGCCCGGTTATCGGACAACCTAAAGGCGTTGTAACCATCCATAAAAAAAGCGAAAATCAAGGAGGGTCGAAATAACCATCGCGTCGCTCCGACCATCCCCCTTTTTGGGAGGCGGCGACAGAGAGTTTCAATTTAGAAATGTCACTCAAATGACACTTGTGTGTGATAATCAGGTTGTTCTTCATATTAGCTCTAATTCTATCTTTCATTAGATGACCAAACACATTGAGATTGACTATCATTTTATTCGAGAAAAGATTATATCTGGAGACATCAAGACTGGGTTTGTTAACTCAAGTGATCAGTTAGCAGATATTTTTACTAAGTCTTTACGGGGGCCTAGAATTGATTATATTTGTAACAAACTTGATGTTGAATTATTGACAAGCGTACCAAAATTATCAATCGCAGTATAATATTTCGATTAAATAAAAGTCGATCCCATGAGGAACGATTTCAATAGAAATTTCCAATTATATGCTTACTAAGTGGATTAAAACAAAATGGGTTTTGCATAAAGAGTTAAATTGAAATTAAATGATAAAGAACTGTAAATTGTTTAGAAAAGATCAATTAAATGTACTTAGGTTGACTTTCTCCCTTATCCCTCTTTTGTAATGGCTATGTCAATTAAAAATATCAATTAACCTAACAATGTTGATGTCATCTACTCAAATCATCCATGTTGATTTCTCACACATGAAATTCATAAGAAAACCTAATAAATGTTGATTTCGCACACAATTAAGAGATTTTCCAGCATTAGGTTTAGGGTGTTAAGCAATTGATACATTCATTTCATTCCTGACAATTAACGTAACAAATATTCTCATCGTGATCTAGGGTTCAAGATATATTTTTCAATCATACCTTAAACATCAAGAACAAATCATTTCAAAGTACAAAAAATAAGAATAACAACATCAAAACATAGATTAGTATATCAAAATATCACCATGATACAAAAAAGTTCAAAGAAAGTGCACCAAATCCCAAGAGAATGAAGTTAGTCACTCATGGTAGCCATTACAATGCTCCAAATGTCGAAAAAGTGAAGAATTGATGAAGATGGGACGAAATCCTAGCAGTAGTCGCGCTTCTTCTCCCCAAACTAGGCATGGCAATGGGACGGGGTGGGGGCGATTTTTTACTCCCCGATCCCCGCCTCTGACTTTTTTAACCATCCTCGTCCCTGCCCCCGATTCCCACCGGGGTTGGAAATTAAGTCTTCATTCCCGTCCTTGTTGGTTTCAAGTTCTCCGCCCTCGTCCCGTCCCCGATTTATATTATTTTTAAAAGATAATTATATATATAATAAATTAATTTTACTATGTATTTTTTATATATAAATAAATATTTATAATTTATAATTATTAATAATTAATTATATATATATATATATATTTTAATTTATTATATTTATATTAAAATGTATATGTAAAAGAAATATTTATTTATTTTTTATTTATATATATATATATATAAAGAGAGAATATTTATAACATTATTATTATTATAACACTGTATTCAAATATTTGAATACTTATAATATTATTATTATTATTATAATATTGTATTTAAACATTTGATTACATATATAAGTTAATTCATTTTTAAGTTATCATTTAAAAATATGAAATATATAGTTTATAAGAAAATATTTAATAAGTTAATTCTTATTTAATTAGTTCAAAGTAATAAAGTTTAAATTATCAATTTATTTTGATATTTTAAAATATAATTATTTTATTAAGATAAAATTTGATATATGATAAATAAGAATAATAAGATAAAAAAATATGACATAATAAAACCTAATAAATATAAATTATAAATAAAATAATATTAGTTATTACTAAGATTTATGTAAAATATTTAGAAAAAGATAAAGAAAAAAAAATAACTTTGTGTTTATCAAATTGGTTGAAAAGATAAAAAAAAATTGATGGGAGAGATTAAGAAAATGTGAAAAATAGAAAGGTAAAAAAGAATAATGTAATAAATTAATTAATATAAAAGATTAAAAAAGATAAAAAAATAAAAAAGTGAGTAGAAGAAAAATAAAAATGGTGAAATATAAAAATATGACCTTATATGTAATAGAAATAGAAAATGAAATACTTTTAAAATATTAATATTTTTAAAATTTAAATTTAAATATAAAGTCGGGGTAGGGACGAGGTCGGGGTGGAGATCGCATTACCCATCCCCGTCCCCTGTCCCCGACTTTTTAAAGCGGGAAAAACCCGAACCCGCCCCCCGATCAACTCGGGTTTTCCCCGTCAAACTCGGGGTGGGGATGAGTTGGTCCCTACGGATACGAATTTAATTGTCATTACTACCCCAAACCGCTTACTTTTCTCAAAACACATATTATCTTTTTATAGGAAAAATTGGGTCTCGCGTTTTTTGCTCAAGCGAAATTCCCTATTCTCGCTCGAGCGACAAAGTGCTTGCTTGAGCAAGTGAGTTCCAGAGAAGAATAATTAATTTTCGCTCAAGCGAAATTTCTGGCGCTTGAGCGACTGACTCTTTAGAGAGTTTTAACTGATTTTCTCTCGAACGACTTCCATGCTGAAAATCTTATTCCTCCTTTCAGTTTTGTTCCAATTATGTTGACAATTATGCTTTTTACTCTTGTATCAAAGTATTCTCAAATTCATCTTACATTATGAAAAAAAAAATAGATTTGAATTGACATAAGTGATTTCATAATAATTAAAAACATAATTATATCAACTTTTTATCACTTAACACTTGATACATACGATTTGTATGCTCCAGTTTGAGGGAAAGTGTTAAATTTTGTTAAGATATTAGTAGATATTGTTAACCACAATATCTTTTGTTTATTCTGTTTACTTTCACTTACTCTTTAAGTTGTAATTCTCTCTATTATAAATAGATTTTCCTATACATGATTTATACACAAAGAGATTAATCTCAAATCCTATTTTCTCTATATTCAATATAGTATTTAGTCAAAGACTAAAAGAAATACATAAATAATATTGTTCTATCAACCCCTCAGTAAACATATATGTTTCGTTTAGAAACAATAGATTTTGGCCTCATCTCCATTAATATTATTATAATTAATTTTTATATTTGATTTATTATTTATTTAAAAACTTTCGATAATCACGATTTTTTTTAATATTTTATTGAAATAAATTTTATATATTTATAACGAATCACGTTTCAAACGAAATTAAAAAAAATAACAGTTATATTTATATATTTAGAATGATGAATTTAATTATTTTCATAGACTATTTTAATAAATATCACACTATTAAAAACATATTTTATCTCATAGTTTATTATTATTATTTAGATTAACTTTTATCATATAAATTTTTGAAAAGTGATTTCAAATTAACTAATTTGTTCATGAAAAAAAGTATGAAACTGAAAGAAAAAAAAACTGTTGAAAATATAACGTTTTAGCTTCATAAAACACAAATAATTTTCGAAAAAATCTTTTACAAATTTCAAGTATGGTCTCCGACATATAGTGAAAATTGTAAACAACCATTTATTACAAAATTAATCTTCCCATTGTAATAGTCAATAGAACTGTACTTATTAGATAGCATAAAAATAGAAAGGAGTGAAAACAATATTATGGTTTGGTTGGATAAAAATAGAGCGAAAACAACATAAGAAAATGAGAAATAAAAATAAAAATAAGGAAAATGATACTTTTCACAACTTAAATCTATATCATTTTGATAAATAACTTTGTTTTAATATTATAATAATAATTTTATTTTATTTTTATTAAATTAGTCTATAAAAATATTATAATAATAATAATTTTATTTTATTTTATTAAATCAGTTTATAAATTATTATATTAATAAAAATGGGTTATTTAAAGAGTGGAATGATTTTTAGTGGTGAAAATATCACTTCTCTACAAATAATAATAATGTATGAAGAGAAGCGGACACATGTCGAAAGCCACGTCATCTTTAACATCGAAATTCTTTTGAGTCTGGTAGGTAATGAGACTTATCAAGCATCCGGTGAAGGGAAGAGGAGAGGAAGTGAGTGTAGCTTGCTTAGTATCCAAGACAAGAACACAATAATAACACTGGAAGCCAAACGAGGCTTCCATTCTGATTCTATTATTTCCATTTTATTTTATCTCCCAAGTTATAATTATTATTATCTTTAGAATCTGAAAGTGTGAAGAGTGAAGAAGATGGCCGAAGAACAAGAATCAACGTCAATTCCTCTCAGTCAAGGGGATAATGCATCTCGCGACGATCCCGAAGACCCTGCCAAGTCTCCACCAAGCTCACCCAACTCCTCCACTCGCAGGGTCTATTTCTTTCCATCTTTTTTTCTTTTTAATTTCATATTTCGTCATTTTACCTTAAAATTAGGGCTAGGTTGTTGGATCTTGCATCTCGTTGTCATTTTTTTAAAGTTTATTTGGTGGATTTTAACGGACGAGTCAACCAAGAGCCTCTTCGCTTGAATTTGGAAAGAAACCTATTTTTACGGACTGAGAAATGGTGATTTTGTAATGACTGATGGCAAAGAATAATCAGAATGATATTTAGAAAGACATTTAAACTGGAAATCTTAGGTATTTTGATCAATCACGTTACCTAGTTGAGGGATCTGCATTGGTAGCATTTGACTAGCAATGGATTTTGTTTAAGGTGGTTTTTATTGCTAGGAATAAGCCGGTGTCTTAGTGTGAAGAGACAAATAGTTTAAATTTCAGCTTTGATAAATTTCCAAGAGTATTAAGTTGGAGGCTGGTCCAAATTTACGGTGCATAACTCCATTTCTCAAAATATCCTCTTATATACGGAATGCTCAATAATAGTTTTTATTTTGGTTTGCATTTCTTTTTGTGATTTTTTTTTACAAATTTGAGCGAGACCAATACAGTAACGATGTTCTCTGTAAAGTTCGAACTGTGGTAAGGGTAACGAAGTTCAGTCTCGGATTTACTTGTAAGATGTTGGGGATTCTACTTGCTATTTTATCCAAGGATCGAGATTTGGTCCTTGATTTGTTGTCCTAAAATGTCCTTACGTATAGAGAGCTGATGTAACAACCCATTCTATTCATGTAATAATCATGGAAAGAGCTTATGAAAATAAAAATAATTTAAAATTAATATTACATTATTAAAGGAAGTTGTTGAATGAATGTTTATTGAGAAGGGAGTGTCGACAAATATTTTACCTTGGGTATAATATCAAAATAAATTTTTATAATGATCCACATCAAAGTCTAAAAATACGAAGAAGTCCTAAAAATTTGAGACGTTATCATAATAATTTAACTGCACTTCCCTGTTGTCCTGCATTACACATGCTTCAGGAGAAGGGCACATGACTGCTGGATGTTGGAATTCTAGACTGATTTAGTGAGCCTAGTTGCAAACCTAAATGATCATCTTGTGTTTTATGATAAGGTGTTCTAAATGATGAAGATGAAGTTTGCAAGAACTCAACGATTACTAGCATGCATTTGTTTGGTGTGATGTATAGATTATGACTTTTCATATTTTTTCAAAGGGAATCTATTTTTATCTTGCTATTGACTCATTCTGTGCACTTGTTTCAGGCTTGCTGCTTTGTTCTCCAGAGTTGGGTCTCAAAGAAATTTATGACTGGATGGTAAAATAACTACTAATTTAGATGATTGATTTTTATTATCATTGTTGGTGTAATTATTCTTATTCATTCATTTGGTATTGAATCTGCAGTGTAGTTCTTTTTCCAGTTGCTGTTACCTTCTTTATTACATGGTGGTTTATTCAGTTTGTTGATGGTTTCTTTAGTCCAATATACTCCAGGCTTGGCATTGATATATTTGGTGAGTAATTTATTTTCTCTTAAAGTAACACATGTTTGATAATTATATTTTCCCTCCTGAGAAGTTTTGAATGAGAGAATTATTTTTGGTCTAGATGTTGTATATCTGAAACATAAAAACAAAGTAAATGACTATAGTGCATAAACTTGAAAATTAATGATATAATTCTCCATTATTTTACCATTTGAGCATGAGAACATCATTTTTTTCTTTTAAGACTTTATTGGTCAATCTGGAATAACTTCAATCCTGATTCTTGTACTTCTATGGTTTCTTTGATAAATTTATTTTCTATCATCACGCACACACAAATAAAATGGTGTTGCAGACTTCTTTTATATTTCTTCCTTTATTTTTTAATATCTCCATCCACTGGATGATCTAGTTTTCCGTACTTGACCTTATTCTCTGTTTCCAATGTAATGTATAAAATGAGATGACTCTTTGTTTGTGGTGCAGGACTTGGTTTCATTACATCATTAGCTTTCGTATTTCTTATTGGTGTTTTTGTTTCGTCATGGATGGGAGCTACTGTTTTCTGGATTGGAGAATGGTTCATAAAGCGAATGCCCCTTGTTAGACATATATACTCTGCATCCAAGCAGATTAGCGCTGCAATATCCCCAGGTATGCACTTCATAACTGCATTGTCCAATTAGAATTTAGCCAAAAAAGAGTTAATGTGGTCTTAATTCAGAGGTAAGCAGTATGCAACATATAGGCTGGGTAGCTGGTGAAATTACAATAGGAAAAATAGCTTCCTAAGTAGCTTTGATGGCAAAGTGCAGGATATCCTTGTTTTATAAGCCTTACCATTGTTTTGTTGTATTTTGTTGTGTGCGCGAAAGGTGCCCAAATTGACGTGTCTGTTTAAATGTAATTTTTCTTTTCATACCCTATCTCGCTCGCCTATGGTTATGGCACAAACTGCTTGGTCATGTCAGATTTAAATTTACCAATTTTCATGCAAAATTATTTCAAACTAAATAGCAATTGTCTTGAGCATTATGAATATGATGATGTGTTATGTGTGGGTTGTACTGGAAGAGAAATTGTTCTAGTAAAGTATATGTTAAGGTGAATTGGAGATGGTGATGAAAACATTGTAGTTTGATAATAACGTTGTTACAAATTCACTGATATAAATTGAATACATATATTGAATTTAGTTATTAGCTTTGTCAAGTTACTAATATTGTAAGAATAGGATTGATTAGGATATTCATCTATAGATTGAAGGCACGCCTCAAATTGTTTATCCTTATCATTTTACCTATCAATTTTTTATTTTGAGTCTAACCTTGTGTTTGGATTGAGAATTTTACAACTTTCAAGAAATTCAAAATATAATGTATTTAAATTACTTTCATTTCGAATTGTTTAATTTTTCAAATGTTTTGTTTGAATAAGACAAATCAAATTTTTGAATTTTAATTTTTTTGTTTGGATAGAGCATTTCAATTACTACTAAATACAAAAAATTACCACCACATAACATTAATGCTATCAATTGAAAAACATTCATGTAGAAATCACAAAAAATAATGACTTATAATGGAAAGGTCTGGTTGATATCCACTGAAAAATAGTCCTAACAACATTGATCAAGAAAACCATGACAAAAGTCAATCAACAAATAGCCCTAACCTTCATCGGTTGATAAAAAATCTCAATAATGTTAACTAGATTATCAATGTCGACTAAACACCTTGACTTACATCAGCTGAAAAATAGTCTTTTTGGCATCAATTAACGAATCCTGCTTAGCATTGGCCGGAAAATGACCTTACTAATGTTGGTTGAGAAAACCCTTATTGTTGGTCAAGAAAAAAAAAATGCTAAATTACGATTTGATTGACGATGGTCGAATAACAACCATGATTGACATCAACTGAAAATAATCTCAATTTATGTCAATCGAAATAATCGTGTTTGACATTAGCCCAAAAACATTGTTGATGTTGATAAAGAAATTTCTTACTAATGTCAGCTTAGAAATAGCACTAGCTTATATCAACAAGAAAATAACCTCTTAATGATGGAAATAAAAAAAATAATTATGATCGACTTTAATCTAAAAGAAACCCATCAACAACATCATTTGAAAAAATATGTTGAACAAACAATGTCCGGACCTGATGTGAACATGACCTATGATAAGGGCTAGAGCAAGGGAAACAAAGGAAGCTCTTCAACAAGTATTGTTGGTTGACCAAATTGTGTTTTGGATTAATCAATTAATGGGTTTTAGTTTGATTTTGTTTTAAGTTGTAATAAGGGCCCAATTGAAAATTTAGTCATCGACCTTTGGGAGACCAAGGGATGCATAGCCGATTGACTTTTGGTTGCCACAGTTTCGGATACAATCAGTCATTAAGTAGTTTTCAATTCCTAGGTTAATGGATCATTATTAGCCTTTATTTATTTCCATTAAATAGTTTTCAATTCCTAGATTAATGGGTTATTATTAGTATTTATTTTCTTTTATTGAGCCTTTTGTAATTCCGATGGCAACGCTTCTATATTAGCTCGAACCATTCTTATCAAGAAATAACAAGTGAAATTTTATTCAGAAATATTAGAGTTTATCTCTTTTATCTTAGTGAGAGTGATTCTCCTAAATTCTTGAGTGATTCAAGAACCCTTGGATGTATCAAAGGACTGTCACATCCTTTGTGTGTTGCCTCCCTTGGGAAGAGTGATTCTTTCCTTCCACCTTCTTTCAAATTCCTAAATTTCTTACAAGGTTCTAACCCTAAAGATCCTAAATTACCCCCTTGTGATTCATATCATTTGGTATCAGAGCCCCGGTTTAAAGGTTTGAACATCAAATTGATGGCAGAGGAGGATAAAAAGAAAATGAGAGAAAATTTTCTTCAAGAAAAGAGAGAAAAAAGAAGAGTGAAACATTTGAAGTGAAGAAGAGTTATTTAGCCATAAAAAGTGAGTATAATGTTAGTTCTACATTCAATTTATCAGACTTATCTCTTTTTTATATAGATGATGAATCCGATTTGAGGACAAATCCTTTTCAAGAGGGAGAGGATGATGTGAACATGACCTATGATAAGGGCTAGAGCAAGGGAAACAAAGGAAGCTCTTCAACAAGTATTGTTGGTTGACCAAATTGTGTTTTAGATTAATCAATTAATGGGCTTTAGTTTGATTTTGTTTTAAGTTGTAATAAGGGCCCAATTGAAAATTTAGTCATCAGCCTTTGGGAGACCAAGGGATGCATAGCTGATTGACTTTTGGTTGCCACAGTTTCAGATACAATTAGTCATTAAGTAGTTTTCAATTCCTAGGTTAATGGATCATTATTAGCCTTTATTTGTTTCTATTAAATAGTTTTCAATTCCTAGATTAATGGGTTATTATTAGTATTTATTTTCTTTTATTGAGCCTTTTGTAATTCTGATGGCAACGCTTCTATATTAGCTGAACCATTCTTATCAAGAAATAACAAGTGAAATTTTATTCAGAAATATTAGAGTTTATCTCTTTTATCTTAGTGAGAGTGATTCTCCTAAATTCTTGAGTGATTCAAGAACCCTTGGCTGTATCAAAGGACTGTCACATCCTTTGTGTGTTGCCTCCCTTGGGAAGAGTGATTCTTTCCTTCCACCTTCTTTCAAATTCCTAAATTTCTTACAAGGTTCTAACCCTAAAGATCCTAAATTACCCCCTTGTGATTCATATCATTTGGTATCGAGCCCGGTTTAAAGGTTTGAACATCAAATTGATGGCGAGAGGAGGATAAAAAGAAAATGAGAGAAAATTTTCTTCAAGAAAAGAGAGAAAAAAGAAGAGTGAAACATTTGAAGTGAAGAAGAGTTATTTAGCCATAAAAAGTGAGTATAATGTTAGTTCTACATTCAATTTATCGAGACTTATCTCTTTTTTATATAGATGATGAATCCGATTTGAGGACAAATCCTTTTCAAGAGGGAGAGGATGATGTGAACATGACCTATGATAAGGGCTAGAGCAAGGGAAACAAAGGAAGCTCTTCAACAAGTATTGTTGGTTGACCAAATTGTGTTTTAGATTAATCAATTAATGGGCTTTAGTTTGATTTTGTTTTAAGTTGTAATAAGGGTCCAATTGAAAATTTAGTCATCAGCCTTTGGGAGACCAAGGGATGCATAGCTGATTGACTTTTGGTTGCCACAGTTTCAGATACAATTAGTCATTAAGTAGTTTTCAATTCCTAGGTTAATGGATCATTATTAGCCTTTATTTGTTTCTATTAAATAGTTTTCAATTCCTAGATTAATGGGTTATTATTAGTATTTATTTTCTTTTATTGAGCCTTTTGTAATTCTGATGGCAACGCTTCTATATTAGCTGAACCATTCTTATCAAGAAATAACAAGTGAAATTTTATTCAGAAATATTAGAGTTTATCTCTTTTATCTTAGTGAGAGTGATTCTCCTAAATTCTTGAGTGATTCAAGAACCCTTGGCTGTATCAAAGGACTGTCACATCCTTTGTGTGTTGCCTCCCTTGGGAAGAGTGATTCTTTCCTTCCACCTTCTTTCAAATTCCTAAATTTCTTACAAGGTTCTAACCCTAAAGATCCTAAATTACCCCCTTGTGATTCATATCATTTGGTATCAGAGCCCCGGTTTAAAGGTTTGAACATCAAATTGATGGCAGAGGAGGATAAAAAGAAAATGAGAGAAAATTTTCTTCAAGAAAAGAGAGAAAAAAAGAAGAGTGAAACATTTGAAGTGAAGAAGAGTTATTTAGCCATAAAAAGTGAGTATAATGTTAGTTCTACATTCAATTTATCAGACTTATCTCTTTTTTATATAGATGATGAATCCGATTTGAGGACAAATCCTTTTCAAGAGGGAGAGGATGATGTGAACATGACCTATGATAAGGGCTAGAGCAAGGGAAACAAAGGAAGCTCTTCAACAAGTATTGTTGGTTGACCAAATTGTGTTTTAGATTAATCAATTAATGGGCTTTAGTTTGATTTTGTTTTAAGTTGTAATAAGGGTCCAATTGAAAATTTAGTCATCAGCCTTTGGGAGACCAAGGGATGCATAGCTGATTGACTTTTGGTTGCCACAGTTTCAGATACAATTAGTCATTAAGTAGTTTTCAATTCCTAGGTTAATGGATCATTATTAGCCTTTATTTGTTTCTATTAAATAGTTTTCAATTCCTAGATTAATGGGTTATTATTAGTATTTATTTTCTTTTATTGAGCCTTTTGTAATTCTGATGGCAACGCTTCTATATTAGCTGAACCATTCTTATCAAGAAATAACAAGTGAAATTTTATTCAGAAATATTAGAGTTTATCTCTTTTATCTTAGTGAGAGTGATTCTCCTAAATTCTTGAGTGATTCAAGAACCCTTGGTCGTATCAAAGGACTCGTCACATCCTTTGTGTGTTGCCTCCCTTGGGAAGAGTGATTCTTTCCTTCCACCTTCTTTCAAATTCCTAAATTTCTTACAAGGTTCTAACCCTAAAGATCCTAAATTACCCCCTTGTGATTCATATCATTTGGTATCGAGCCCGGTTTAAAGGTTTGAACATCAAATTGATGGCAGAGGAGGATAAAAAGAAAATGAGAGAAAATTTTCTTCAAGAAAAGAGAGAAAAAAGAAGAGTGAAACATTTGAAGTGAAGAAGAGTTATTTAGCCATAAAAAGTGAGTATAATGTTAGTTCTACATTCAATTTATCAGACTTATCTCTTTTTTATATAGATGATGAATCCGATTTGAGGACAAATCCTTTTCAAGAGGGAGAGGATGATGTGAACATGACCTATGATAAGGGCTAGAGCAAGGGAAACAAAGGAAGCTCTTCAACAAGTATTGTTGGTTGACCAAATTGTGTTTTAGATTAATCAATTAATGGGCTTTAGTTTGATTTTGTTTTAAGTTGTAATAAGGGTCCAATTGAAAATTTAGTCATCGACCTTTGGGAGACCAAGGGATGCATAGCCGATTGACTTTTGGTTGCCACGGTTTCGGATACAATTAGTCATTAAGTAGTTTTCAATTCCTAGGTTAATGGATCATTATTAGCCTTTATTTGTTTCTATTAAATAGTTTTCAATTCCTAGATTAATGGGTTATTATTAGTATTTATTTTCTTTTATTGAGCCTTTTGTAATTCGATGGCAACGCTTCTATATTAGCTGAACCATTCTTATCAAGAAATAACAAGTGAAATTTTATTCGGAAATATTAGAGTTTATCTCTTTTATCTTAGTGAGAGTGATTCTCCTAAATTCTTGAGTGATTCAAGAACCCTTGGTCGTATCAAAGGACTGTCACATCCTTTGTGTGTTGCCTCCCTTGGGAAGAGTGATTCTTTCCTTCCACCTTCTTTCAAATTCCTAAATTTCTTACAAGGTTCTAACCCTAAAGATCCTAAATTACCCCCTTGTGATTCATATCATTTGGTATCGAGCCCGGTTTAAAGGTTTGAACATCAAATTGATGGCGAGAGGAGGATAAAAAGAAAATGAGAGAAAATTTTCTTCAAGAAAAGAGAGAAAAAAAGAAGAGTGAAACATTTGAAGTGAAGAAGAGTTATTTAGCCATAAAAAGTGAGTATAATGTTAGTTCTACATTCAATTTATCGGACTTATCTCTTTTTTATATAGATGATGAATCCGATTTGAGGACAAATCCTTTTCAAGAGGGAGAGGATGATGTGAACATGACCTATGATAAGGGCTAGAGCAAGGGAAACAAAGGAAGCTCTTCAACAAGTATTGTTGGTTGACCAAATTGTGTTTTAGATTAATCAATTAATGGGCTTTAGTTTGATTTTGTTTTAAGTTGTAATAAGGGTCCAATTGAAAATTTAGTCATCGACCTTTGGGAGACCAAGGGATGCATAGCCGATTGACTTTTGGTTGCCACGAGTTTCGGATACAATTAGTCATTAAGTAGTTTTCAATTCCTAGGTTAATGGATCATTATTAGCCTTTATTTGTTTCTATTAAATAGTTTTCAATTCCTAGATTAATGGGTTATTATTAGTATTTATTTTCTTTTATTGAGCCTTTTGTAATTCGATGGCAACGCTTCTATATTAGTTGAACCATTCTTATCAAGAAATAACAAGTGAAATTTTATTCGGAAATATTAGAGTTTATCTCTTTTATCTTAGTGAGAGTGATTCTCCTAAATTCTTGAGTGATTCAAGAACCCTTGGCTGTATCAAAGGACTGTCACATCCTTTGTGTGTTGCCTCCCTTGGGAAGAGTGATTCTTTCCTTCCACCTTCTTTCAAATTCCTAAATTTCTTACAAGGTTCTAACCCTAAAGATCCTAAATTACCCCCTTGTGATTCATATCATTTGGTATCAGAGCCCCGGTTTAAAGGTTTGAACATCAAATTGATGGCAGAGGAGGATAAAAAGAAAATGAGAGAAAATTTTCTTCAAGAAAAGAGAGAAAAAAAGAAGAGTGAAACATTTGAAGTGAAGAAGAGCTATTTAGCCATAAAAAGTGAGTATAATGTTAGTTCTACATTCAATTTATCAGACTTATCTCTTTTTTATGTAGATGATGAATCCGATTCAAACATAAGGTAAGTGTCTTACCAGTATGTGCGTTGTAACTATCATACGTTTTTTAAGTTAGATAGATTGACCATTTTCAAATATTGGTGATTAGGATGCGACCATTTGTTATAATTTTTTTTTAACATTTCAGATCAAAATACCACTGCCTTTAAAGAGGTAGCAATTATCCGGCATCCGCGCGTTGGTGAATATGCCTTTGGTTTTATTACATCAACTGTTACTCTACAGGTACATCAACTGTCTTCAAATTTGTTTACCAATCTACTTTTACTTATACTGATTGAATATGTGACGGTTCCCTTTTTATTTTATTATAGCATATAAACTTCATTAGTGAAATGTAATATATCTTAAGTGTTGGAAATTGGAATGCACATACCATATATATTGTTATAACATATATTACTACGTGGTCCATTTTAACATGAGTCTGGGGAATTTACCTTCATTATATCAACGTTGAATAATCATAAAAATAACATTTAAAAAAAAGGGAACATACTTTTGTGAGACATGGTTCTAATAATTGATACCCATATGTTCTTTTAAAGATAAACACACAGCACCCTATGCATTTATATGTGTGTCTCTGTGAGATTTGAAGCAGTATAAATCTAACAAGTTTTACTTGAGTTCATCTTGTACCTCCCTGGTTGATAATGCTTTTACTTAACCATTCTTGTTACTGTTAATTTATTGTAAAAGTTATGGGTTCATGTTTGTCATTTTCTTTTTGTCTCATATTCATCTGACAAGGCTTCATAATAATCTCACCATATATTTTGCATCCTCCTATGAACTTTGTGTTATTTTCTGAGAAAAATTTCTGTTTTATTTGATATATTTAACCAATGATTATATCCTTTTTCCTTCACAGAAAGATAATGAAGATGAGGAGCTTTGTAGCGTTTTTGTCCCTACGAACCATCTGTATATTGGTGATATATTTTTGGTTAACTCCAAAGATATTATAAGACCAAATCTTTCAATTCGAGAAGGCATAGGTAGATTATCTTTCCATTTATTTATTGTCATTGTCAACTACAACAGCTTACATAGGTCATGTTGTTCTTATTTACCAATGTATATGAAGAGATATTGTTGGTATATGATGTTCTTTTTACCTCATTGAAGGAAAATTAGAACTTTGTCATTTGACATTTTCTGCATGTTGAAATTTAAAACTATGATTTTTATTTTTTGTAATCCAATGGTGTAATGTGTGCCTTGCTGCCGATGCAGAAATCATTGTTTCCGGGGGAATGACTATGCCGCAGTTGATAACTCCGGTTGAAAGGGCTACTCGACCGAATGAAAGAATTTCTTTAAATAGAATTGGATAAAGGAATAAATAGGTGGTTGAAACCATGTCGGTGATGGAAATTATTATAGGTTTGAACTTCCATTATTTTTGTATACGAAATTTGTCTTTAATATTTAGTTCTAAGTTCAGATGAGTGTAAGATAACTTGTAACACTGTAGTTATAAACTTGTAATCCCATTGTACCCTTGTTATTGTTCTACCATTTCCACCCAAAAGTCTGAATGCTGTTAGCATTAGATAGGATCTTTATCTAAATTACATTTATATTTCTGTTTATTTGAAAGCCTGGCTAATTGTTATTGATTTTTCATTTTACCAACTGACATATAGTGTATATAACAAAATTCGGAATAATATTATTTAATAATGAAATTAAAAAATGTTATATTAAGAATGTTCCTTGTTTATTATTATAATGGTACATAGGAATTAGTTGTTCATTTTGGAGAACCTGGTCTCAATCTGAGTACTTACTTCAATGTGCTTGCATTATTAGATTTGAGAATAGTGCTCTTCCACTCAATTTATCACACCAGAATACTGGTTTCTTAGTAAAGACAACTTTAATTCTTGCAATAGTGGCTTGATCCATGCTAGAGGACTTAGAATACTTTTTGTTTTCTGGAGGACCAAGAAACAATTGTTTCACCAATAAATCGTGTACGACCATAAACTTCATCTACATTTGTTACCCAAGACATCTGAAAAACCTATAATATCTAAATTTGCAAAAGGTTTGATATGTAAGCACTGACCAATTGTCTTTGAGATACCTTAATATTCTTTTTATGCATTATGAGTGATATGTGGTTGAATAGCTCATATATTAGTTTAAGTTAGAAAACAAAAATGTCTAACCTTATATTTGTCAAATGTTGAAGTGCTCCTATGACTTGATTGAACATTGTGTTCTTCAATTGTTCCCTCAACTCAATAGTAAACGGTATTGCATGTTATCATTGATGTGAGGCAAGTTTACCCATGCTCCATGCTATATTTTGTTGAGAATCTGAATGTGTTTAGTGCATTCCACTTATATCTTTAAGAATGAAAGAGAGATGGATCACTCTTGAGCCTGTCAAACCAGGCCTTGAAACCTATTTTAGACCATAAATTAACTAGGACAACTTGCACATACAATAGTTTTTCAAATCTATGAACCCATATGGTTGATGCATAATTTTTTTTTCTTCAATTGCACACAAATACACACTATTACAGACAAATTTTTTTTATTAATAAATATGAAAATAAATAAATAATACATCTATAATCAAATAACAAAACTGACTTTTCACTAGACTAATTAATCTAAGTTTCTTAATCATTTCTTATATTTTGAATTATCTATATTTGAGATGCAAATTTAGAACGTATAAAGATTATTTTTGGTACTCTTACTTAGAAATCATGATTTATCATGAATCTATAATTCCTAGCAATAACTAAATTTGGTTTGTTAATTGATAAATATTGCTGAAAATATTTACACTAGTTTCTATTAGAAATAAGAAATAATGTATATATTTACTAAATTTTTTAATTGGTCACCTTATTAAATAATATGATAAAAGTATATATAGTATATATATTAGTTAAATTCTTATTTTTATTCATAAACATCACAATGTTGTTTTTTTATAGTCTAGATTAAGAATGTAAAAGTATGTTTCTAAACTAGATTTTCCATCATTTTAATGTACAAATAAATTAAATCAATCTTATAAATAATATAGTTTTATAAAAATTATCTAAATAAAATCTTTCTTATTTATTTTTCTAATTAAACTATTATATTAAAATTTAATAAAAATATGTTAAAATAAATATTTTAAAATCAATATTAAAATTAAAAAATATCAACTAATTATTTAAAATTATGATGACAATAAATAAATTTATTTATGATAATAATAAATAATTTTATTTATGATTATATATATAATTAATATTTATTTAATAGTATTAAATAATTATTCATCTAATTAAATAAATATAAAATATTAATAAGTTAAATACATATTTTTTATTTAATAATTTAACTTAGCTATAATTATATTGAATTATAATAATTAGTTACATTATATTTATTAAAAAAATTACTTTAAAATGAATATTCAACTCTTTCTTAATAATTATATCATAATAATAATAATATTTATAATATCTCAAATAATATATTAAATTATAACATTTTTAGATCATTTAAATAATTTTATTTTTTATAAATAATAAAAAAATTCACTCTTAAATTTCATTTATTGTTTGCTTACTAATATAAATGTGAAGTTTTTTCCAATATTTTTTTCTACATTAAATAATATTAAGGGTTTTGTAGATTAGGAAGACCGGAATAGCCAACCAAACCCGTCCTTGTTTCCGTCTTTCTATCTATCTACCTACAGAGAAAAGAAAACCCCAAAAACCCTAGAATTTGAGAAGCGCGATAGGAAGAGCCATGGAATTCGACGAGTACGATTACTTGGAGAAGACAGTGGAGGAACAAGAGGACCGCGACTCGAGCAGGAGGAAGAAAGAGACTGAAAGGAGCTACCGGAAACGCGAGGAGATCGACGAGGGCGCCGAGGAGAGGAAGAGCAAGAGGTCAAGGGGCGACGATGAGAATGGCTCTAAGAAAGATAAAGATCGCGAAGAACGCGACAGGGAGCGCCACAGAAGTAGCAGAGACAGGGATAGAGATAGAGACAGAGATGGTGAGAGAAGTAGCAAGGACAGGGACAGAGACAGAGATAGGGAGAAGGAGAGAGATAAGGAGAGGGATCGGAGGGACAGAGACAAAGAGAGGGAGAAGAGGGAAAAGGAGAGGGAAAGAGACAGAGATAGGGAAAGAGAAAGAGACAGAGATAAAGACCGAAGGGACAAAGAACGGGAAGAGAGAGATAGGTCTCGGCGGAGCAGGAGTCGTTCTGTGCGAGATAGAGAAAAAGAACGAGATTTCGACACCAGAGATAGCAGGCAATGCTCTTAATCTTTCTTATTCTTTGCCAATTCTGGTTTTAATTTATAGCTCCAGTACTGCGTTTGCGATGGTTTCCTGACCTAGATTATTTGAATAGTGTTATCTGCTTAGGTTTGGTCAAACCGAGTGATGAAGTGTTTGAATTTTTTATTAGAACTATGCATTACTAAAACTTGTCTAATGGAACTTGTTTCTGTTACGTTGCACCTTGTGCTCTCTGGTTATTTAGTTTTCATAATGCAGTTTTAGAGAAACGCATGCTTAGAAATGACATGCCAACTTATTAAAACAGTGATTTTCTTAGTCTGTTGTATCAAATTTTTGGGGGTGGTATGAAGAGGGGAGGGGGTTGTTACATGTTATGGACATGTTCATAGGCTATGTTTCATCCTGCAGGAGTAGTAGTATGGGTCGGTAGGGCAATATTTTTAATACTAGAGCATGGATGGGTTAGATAACATTATTGTAATAGAATGATAAAATAGACAATAAAGTAACTAAATTACAAGATAATATCATTTGTGTGGTATTCTGTTGTCCATGATCGTGTGATTAACTTCATACCTCCTCTTGATAGTCTACCATCCAACCCATTTTACTTTTAAAAGAATGGTACGAGACTGGGAAACTAGGAGCACTTTTTGGTTTGATGAAGTACACAAACCTTTTTGTAGAACCAAGTCAATTTTTGTCAATTTTTTAGCATTAGTTTAATTTTTTGTTGTTGTTTGTATCATTTATTTGTGTGGGAGAGGTGGTCTTATCATCAAATGTCTTCCATCCTAGAAGTAGTGTAGCGAAGGTGTTATTCAAATAGTGGTCTGGTATTCAATAGCAACCATTTCCATGTACTATATTGGTGCTATACCACGATATAGGTGTCAAAAACCTGTATTTATCCTAGGAAAAATACAGTTTAGGGTTCCTGGGGTGAAATTTTGATTTCGTCCCCCATTTTCTAATACTTTTCTTGCCTCATCTATACAGTAAGATTTTAAACATTTCTTCATTTACTATTGCACAAAAAATTACCTCTGTTTTTGACCTATTTTTCTTTTACTTTACTGGACTGTATTTTTCCTTTCTCCATGCTTTCTTGTTTCTTTATACTTCCTAGGTCACATTCTGCTAATTTATCTAATTTGATGGGTTCTTTTTTATTAATTCCACTACTATCTCATTTTTTTTTTACTTTATTTGGTTGGCGGTGTGCGTAGACTAACTTATTTTTTTATAGTGAATTTCATTAATTTTGGGTTTAAGTAGTTAGATGAGGAGTATAATTTATTTAGTTTGTATTATAATATTTAAAACGGCAAATTACCTGCTACAGCACCCTGCTACCTGAGATCGAAAAATATGGGGATAAATATTGAGATACACGTGCTCCTAGGATGATGAACTAGCTTTTAAATTTTAAGAACCTGGCAATATTTTTGACAAATTTATATGGACAAATAAACAGGTTTACTAGTATATATTAATGTTATAAGACTGAATCCTACTTTGGACTGTTATATTAACAATATACTTTGGAATAATGGCTACAGTTAAGAGATTGAGACATTACTCCCTCTCAAGATTAGGTGCTCTTTGGGACTCTAATATTAGCAATGTACGTTTGGATTTATGCTACAAAATATACAATCTGAATATTATGAGGAAGTTTGATGTACTATATACATATCTTATAGCCAAATTATAATTTGAATTGCAGGAGATTTAGGGACAAGAAAGAGACAGCAGAGCCTGAGGCAGATCCTGAAAGGGATCAGAGGACTGTTTTTGCATACCAGGTTGATTGATTGACCCTTTAATTTGTTATAAATATTATAACATTTTATATGTTTTCGAATTTGGTGTTTCCTTGCTAATTATAGCCAATTTGATATTGTGATGATTACAGATGCCCTTGAAGGCATCAGAGAGGGATGTTTATGAATTCTTCTCAAAAGCTGGCAAGGTCAGTTAGCTTAAATTTTTGCACACGCTCACATATTCTATTGTGCCTGTGTGGTGATTGAAATAGTGGTTATATTGTTATTTTGAACCACTGGATATGGTTGTTTATATGCTCAGATTCGAATGTCTTGCACCCACCTGATTTCCTCTATTTACTCCTAGTATTCCTTATTTTCAGGTAAGGGATGTTCGTCTTATCATGGATAGGAACTCAAGACGATCTAAAGGAGTTGGGTATGCGCTCTCTTATTAAATTATTTATTCTTCATGTGCGTGCACAATTGTGGTATTAGGATATCAACTTTTAAGAATCATGTTTAACTGTATTCTTAAATGGACTAGCAATGCGATAATGATGAGGGATGATGGGAATACCTTGCACTCATGTTTAATCAATTCATGCTGCGTACTCAAGGTAGATGACATAATCCCGGTTTTCTTTTGGTCCTTTTCCCGATTTTCTTCCTCTGCATTTCTGATATGCATACAGTGAGGATTTCTTTCATTTGATGTTGAGAGTTTTCAGTTTATATCTCTTGAACTGGTTATTACATATTTCACGACGAGGTTGATATGGAAGGACATTTCTTTACCCTTCAGTTTTGTCCTTTTTTGGGGGGTAGGTGGTGGCAGTGGTGTCTAAATGATTTCAATACAGATTTCGTGCAATTGGGATTTTAGAGTTCTGTGACAAGTAGGTTGTAGTGGCAGGCCAGCCTTAATTTGCTTCCCTTAGAGCATTTGATTTGATTGTGTGCACATGTGGAAGTAAAGATTAGTTTCTGCTTGCTGGTTACTAACTTCCCCGTCTCAGTGGTTCCCTAAGGTTTCTTGTTTCTAACATTATTGAAATCTATACTTTAGTTTTGTATTTTATTACATCAGGCTAACTTTTTCTTCACATGAGTCAGATGCATCAAAAGATACCCTCAGCTTGAGCTGTGTGAACTAGAGTTTTTGTTTCCCTACATCTTTGCTGTATGCTTTGTAAGTTTTGATTGAACTCTTTGTATTTTGTAGTCATGAAAACTTGATGTAAGTTCTTGATGAGGCTGCAGGTACATTGAATTTTATGATGCAATGTCCGTGCCAATGGCAATTGCTCTCTCTGGCCAACTTCTTCTGGGACAACCTGTAATGGTCAAACCTTCTGAGGCTGAGAAGAACCTTGTCCAATCTAATACTACTAGTGGAGCTGCTGGGGTTGTAGGACCATATGGAGCTGTGGACAGGAAGCTGTATGTGGGGAACCTTCACTTCAACATGACAGAGAGTCAATTGAGAGAGGTATTTGGCTTTACTTTGTGGTGAATATTTTTTACATGAATTTTCATTGCAATCTAGTCTTCTGTCAGACATTACCTAAAATAATTTGATAATTTGTCATTTACAAGATTTTGACATTTTTTCTCTTTTAGATTTTTGAGCCATTTGGTCCAGTGGAGCTTGTGCAACTGCCTCTTGACTTAGAGACGGGACATTGCAAGGGCTTTGGGTTTGTTCAAGTTTGTTACTAACACTTAACATCAAGAAATGTCATTTCCTATAATAATGTTGTTACTTATCTCTTTGATGTATTAATACTGGAACAGTTTGCCCATCTTGAGCATGCCAAGGCTGCTCAGAGTTTAAATGGAAAACTGGAAATTGCTGGCAGGACTATAAAGGTAGACATGTTTTTGTGTGTTTCTATTTTTGTCTCTCTTTGCTTGTCCTTGAGTTTGTAATTAATGCTGTTCATCAAATACAGGTTTCATCTGTAACAGATCATGTCGGAAACCAAGATACAACTGCAAAATCTGCAGACTTTGATGATGATGAAGGTGGATTGGTGAGTGTTCACTTGAATAAAAACAAAAATGGGTTCCACAGGACAATTTTTCATTGACATTTCTTATTGTATGATAATTATATTTGGGTTCCAGCTTGTTTGGCTTGATTATTGACCTGAACTTCTGTTCATTTGAATAATACTTTAGCAACTATGACGTCTAGTTTTAAATATTTGCACAGATCGATCACCAGATTGTTACTATTTGATAGATATTTGCATTGAAGCTTTGTTTCAATTAAGTGTTGATCCTGATTATTGAGTAAATGATGCTTAGGAGGAGTGAGAAAGCATTACAAATTGTTGATGTCAAACATATTAAATACTAATTGATGTCTTCTAGTTGTGCCTGCTTTTTTATATTTATTAGGCTTAAAAAGTGGTGTTTCCATGTCCCTACTTTTTCCCTGATCTGGCTTAAAATCTGAAGTTTTAAATTTTCTTTTGTGCTTCCACCTATTCTGCAGGAAGAAACTGCATTTTTTCTATGTGGGATTCTGGGGCATAGTGTGGTGATTAAGAAAACTGGGCTAAATGCTATTTTAGTCATTTTGGGTTGAGTTTCTTGCTCATGTATTATTTTTTTATTTTTTCTGTATACAGGCTTTAAATGCCCAGTCAAGAGCATTGCTTATGCAGAAACTGGACCGCTCTGGCATTGCCGCAAGGTTTGTGTAAAGATTTTCTTCTACCAGATTGTCTAAATTTATTCATTTTCTTAACAGATTCCAAACACTGCAGTATTGGTCTGCCCGTTGTGAATGGGTCAGCTCCTGCTCAACAGGCTATTATGCCTATTGGTAATCCAGGTATAATACCAGCACCAGCTGTCCCAACGCAAATTATGCCTACCCCAGTAATTGAACCTGTTGGAAATCCCAGTGAGTGTTTACTTCTAAAGAATATGTTTGATCCAAACACTGAGGTAAGGATTAACTGATTGATTACATTCACTCTCTTCTATTTCATTCAAAAAGTACTAATATCAAATATTACAAGATGCAGACAGAGCCAGATTTTGATCTAGACATTAAAGAGGATGTGGAAGAAGAGTGTTCCAAATATGGACGGGTGAAGCATATTTATGTTGACAAGTACGTTTATGAATGTGTTGAACTTGTCCATAAATGCTCCATTCTTTCTTTTATCTTATTTTCCCACCATACCATTTTATAATTAATTCATCTTCTGTGCAGAAGAAGTGCAGGTTTTGTGTATTTGCAGTTTGAAACAGTGGAAGCAGCTAGTGCTGCTCAACGTGCAATGCACACAAGGTGGTTTGCAGGCAGAATGATTTCTGCTATCTACATGGTAAGCATTTATTCACTTCATCGTCTTGAGTTACCTGATGATTTTGTTCCTTCAGATTTGCATTTTTAACACAAAATACAGTGAGAATTGTGCTATTTCAACTTTCTTGTATGGAGGACTTTTGTGTGTAAACGGGGCATTGTCTACTGATTTTATTTTTTAACTAGGGAGATTAATATCAATGTAATTTGCAAAACAGGGGATTTACTTATTAGTTGTCTTCACTTATTAGTAATCTGCTTTGTAATCTGCTTTGTAATAGAGTAAAATCTTGATTTACTTATTAGTTGTCTTCACCTGAAGTGATGGGGAATCTTTTGACCTGATAAGTTGTGGGAATTGAACTAACTCTTTTGACAATATATTTACTGATTGATTGTGCATTATTGTGCTTTCTATATTACCAGACTCATATCGGTGGGAAAGAATTATCTCCAGTTACATTTTCACTGAATGAGATCCTTACCCTTAAATTTTTGTTGATAAAATATATTTTTGTATATAGTAAAAGTTTTATATAATTAAATAATGAGATTATCTCACTCGACAAACTCAGAAATTTTTTTTTTTTTCACATAATAGGATCTTTATCCCGTATCAATCTTGCTAGTATATTTTTTTTGCCTTCGGTGTTTTTTATATGGCTGCTAAGCCAACAACGTTGTGTCTAGAGTATGAAACTTTGAAGTAAACTGTGTTAAGATAGAGATGTGTATTTCATTGACATGGTCTTGTATGTTATATAATAATTGCGTTTCTAGCATATGGGCACCTAATTCACTGTGCCATACTGAACATTTGTAGAATGTGTTACGTAGTGGCTCTAATTTTTAATGGGGTGTCTTGAGAATTCTTGTGTTTGTCTTGCAGCAACCTCAGATATATGAAGCCAAGTTCAAAGGGGACACTTGAAGAAGTGCTTATAAACCTTTTAGGTCTCAGACGACAGCTTTCATATTTTTCTCACATTAGTTCTCAGAAATTGAGTTTAGCTTATAAATTTTGATTCATGACTTGTACTATTAGATGTATGGTTACAGAAGTTTTACTGCCTAGGTGGTGTGACATTCATGGCCAGTAATTTATTTTGATCTCAATGTATTCTATTTTAACCGTAGTCCCTTGTTTATTTCTGGGTTTCTTCTACTAGACCAAGGGTGGTAACATTGATTCAACTTTACGGTTTTTAGCAGTGTTAAAATCCATTATGGTTGAAATGACCATACATAATAAGGTCTGGTCACCAATCTGTTAGCCTGAAAAACAGGCTCATCTTAAAACTAGTCAGTAAATGCGGTAAAAATTTGCTTCTCATAATATATTTAACCTTCCATCTTTTTTAAACTTTTTTACAGTCTAGATATTTTTAAGATTAATAAAAATGTATATTCATATAATTATTTACTTTATTTTATAATAATGTACCTTTATATTTTTTTTCTTTTTTTTTTTTTTAAATCTTGTATCTATTTTGTTGTAGAAATATTTAAAATTTATAATATTAAAAATATGAACTTTATTATTATACATTTAGCCATGTTTAGTTAAAAACTAGGGGTGAAGGATATATTTCTGTTTTAAAAAATGGATTAGATGTATTAATTGGAAATTAGTCTAAATATCAATCCATTATTTTTAAATAAATTTACTAATTTCATTTTATTTAAATTAGTATAAAATAAAAAAAATTATATTGATCAAATATTTGCATTGAATTGGTTTGATAAAAAGGATCAAAGTTTTTATTTTTTTTAAATATAATTTTTTATTAAAGATATAATATTTTTAAATTTTTTTATTTTATTATGTTAATTTTAAATAATTATTATTTTATTATATTTTTACTTTTTTTTAATTATTATCACTTTTATATTAAATTTTATTATTTATTTTTTAAATTTATTATTAATGTATTTATAAAAATATTATTTTATTAAATATGATTATATTTTTATAGAATCTTTAAATCTTAAACTGATGTTTTTATTAAATCAGTTACATATTTGGTTTTTGAAAAATCAATATATACACAAAATTTATAGTGGGTTAGTATTTGATTATAGGTAAACTCTTGATCTTCTTCTTGTTAAAATAAAATAAAAATATGGACTTTTAAATAACAAAATGAGAAGGTATCATAATTATTATGGTCATTTTTATTATTGAGATTTTTGTTTTCTAAACATATTTAATTTATTATGTAATTAAATAACACGAACAAATTATTGCAATAAAACTTGATTGTAAGACCAAGTATAAAAGATAATCGTTGTTTTAAAGAATTACAAGATATTTTGACACCAAAACTCTCTTTTGAAATAAAGTCATGCAAAAAAAGGTTTATCTCATCCCTAATGTTAGGAATGAGCTTAAGAAACTTTTAACAAATAAACTTATTTAATAAACGTTTAACAAAAGTCGTCTACGACGATGAAAACCTTCTTTATCAAGAGTTATTTACGAAGATGACAACCTTCTTAATTCTACGGTTAACATTGCTCCAACAATAACATTTTGCAAGATGTCTTATTTATGAAACTCTTAGGTAAATCATTAAATCTTGACTTAATGAAAGAAAACCTCTGTATAACCTAGAACCAGGAAACTAAAAGTAAAATTTGACATCATTAATATTGCTTATCACTTTCTCATGGTGAAAGTTTGATGGAAAAGAGAAGTACTTTAAAGTTACGACTATGATATTTGACATGGTTAATATTGTTTATCACTTCCTCATGATGAAAATTTGATGGGAAAGAGAACTACTCTAAAATCATCAACTATGATATTTGATCATTTTTAAATATAAATTTGATTGTTATGACTTTATTTCAACTGTAACATTAACGAATCTTTTGGGGGTTTTGAGGGATCATGACATTTTTCCCTTATCCTTTAATATTTATAACTTGTATTTATATTTATAATTTTGATTTTTTAAATTTAACTATGATTAAATATATCTATTTATAATTTTATTTTTTATTTATTTTTTTATAAATATTAAAACAAACTATTAAATATATTAAATAAGAATATATTTTATATTCTTTGGTCAAAATCCCCCTCTAACCGCCTATTGTATGATCTTCTCAACTTTAAAATCATTACTATGATAAGAGCATCCTCTTAATAGCACCTATGAGCATGGATCAATTGATGAAGGTAGACATCAATATTTAGGATGTTTGTCATCAACATTACGCAACTTTGTGTGTCAATATTGACTTAACGATGTCAATGGTTGGAGAAGTATGGTCACATGTGTAAAGTTCCATAAGAAAAACTTCATAAAATATGTACAATACAAAGTTTCAACATCATTTTCAACTTTTACCTTGAGTAATCATGCTGCAGACCCCTCACTTAGGGTAAAGGCTTCTAGGTTGAAAAACTAGTTAATGGGCCTTAAGCTTTGATGAGTAGAGTAAAGACTCAAGAATAAATTTAAATTTTTTAGACTTTTAATTATATTTTTGGATTTAATTTTTGTAATTTCTTTTATTGGATATTTATTTGGGCCTTGTACGTGTTTTTATAATTTTGTAACCAAAGACATTTTAGAGTTTAGACTCTTAGATAAATAGTATATAAGACTATTTGTAAGTTTTTTTTTTTTTCATAATACATATTCAAATTTTGAAGTTTTATTTTGGGAGAGAAATTCTTTTTAAGTTTGTGTGAAGAATTTTTTTATTTTCTTATCTTTAAATTTCTAATTTAAAGTGACAGTTCCTTCTTGATTTATTAATAGATTCTGCATTTGTTTTTTCATTTCTAATATTTGCCTACATTTTCTATTTTGTTTTCTTCTTGTTTAATTATTGGACATTGTCACAAACAATTCGTAAACTTATTTCAAGGTTAGATCCTTATTATGTGATTATCATAGCTTGATTCCTATTTTAATTTCCAAAAACTTTGTCTAAATATTTTTGAAATGCATAAAATTGAGTGGTACATCTAGCTTGGAATTCAAATTTGATCTCGTTCCATATTTCCTAAGCAATAACTAATTCAACATTCATTTACTAGTCTCATGGATAATATCATTACCTTCACGAGTAAGATTATGTCCTTCATTTCAAGTATGCACACATGCTTCAAGAGCTACTAGATTAGCTAATTGAACATTAGATCAATTTGATGGATGATTTGTTAAATATTTGGATTCTTCTTCATTTGGAGCTCTCACTTGACTACAAATACTAGTTGTTTATTCAAATCCTTTATATGGATAATTTTGAACTATAATAGTTCTTTATTTTTCATTATATCAAATCAACAGCGGTGAAGTGTTAAACCACAAATGCAAGGTTGCCTTAATTGAGATTTGGTGTTGCTTATATAGCATTTTTAGAAGTGACCATGGTTCAAATTGAAGTAAAATTGGCACAAGTCATAATAGCTTGAAGAAAGTGGAATGGAGAATTGGTTTAGTGATCCACGAGAAGTAGCTCAAATTCAGTGTCCCTTTTTAATGTTAAGTAAATTTGAAGCATGATTCAATTGCTTTTGAATTGTCTTTATTATCAACTGAATTATTATACAATGCTTTTTCTTAAGTGATGATATTAATTTTGATATTAAATCATATCTTTATAGTGTGATCATTCAATTTTTGTTGTTAGTAAATGTGACTACTAATCCAACAAGTGATGCAAAATAATTTGTTGTTCAATTTGTGTCTTGAACATGTGCTTGTTGATTTGAAATTGGTATAAATTTGTTTTTATCATAAGTATGGTTGGAGAAGAAGACATGAGTATTGCAAAATAAAACCCTAAGACTCACGATGACACATATGTGTATCCCACATTTTCGCACAATTCGTTTTAGTATCTCAGTACTTGAACCACAGTGTGATCCATGGAGGGTGTGCAACCCATTCTCAATAAATGTGGACTCTAATCAGTGCATCATGGCATTTTCGTAGGGGATACATGACTGTTAGTGGACAGTTGGCTTGATCTGTTAGGTTTTTTAGCCCAATCTACATCTATAAATAAATCACTCCACACTCCTCCAAAGACACACCTTACTCATATTATCTTCTCTATTTTTCTTCTTGTTCTATTCTTGAGTTTATTTGCTCTTTTAAGAATTTCTTGCTAGTTTCTGAGTTCCTCGAAAAATTTGAGAAGTTCATGTTGTATCCTGGGAGAATTGTGCACTACTCCGCAGATAAGTCCTTAAGGGTAGTGATTATACACGTCTTAGGAATCTAAGTTTTGTTCGTGTCTTTGTCAGCCTTTACAATAATTTTAAAGACTTATGACTGACAGTATGGATACTAACAACAACTCTATATCAGAACAAACAAACAACATTTCCAGAACTCAAACTGTCTTTGCGAAACCGTTCCAGACGTTTTGAAAATTGAAGTTTTCACTGGGCAAAACTTCTAACCCTGGCAAGAACGCACTTCTACTCTCAGACATATATGGAGTGACTTATGCTCTTACAACTACCAAACCTAATGCTAGTACACCTACTAAACAAATTGAAGACTGAGTTCATTTGAACAAGATATTTCAACACACTTTGTTTAGTCTATTGTCTAATGATTTGTTTGATGTGTATTGTTCCTATAAGGAAGCCAAAGATATTTGGTATTCGTTGATTCTCAAATATATTGTCGAAGATGTTGTGAGACAAAGGTTTGTTATCGAACCTACTACCATTGGGAGATGCTAGAAGACAAGGATATCAAGATCCAAATTAACGAGTACCATAAGCTGTTTGAAGATATTAAAGTCGGAAACATAGTCCTACTTGATGAGTTCATTTTGGAACTTCTAATCGAAAAGTTTCCAGGATAGACTACAAACAATAGCTGAAGTATAGGTATAAACCGATGTCACTGCCAAATTTGATCACACACATTATCATCGAAGATATCAACCAAAAAG